AAGTTAACCTCTGGTATGTGCCTGACTTTTTTTTGGTTTGTTTTAAAAAGAGAAGTTCAATACTTGAAAAACATCCATTGCATTTATTTACACTAGTTTTATTTCATTGTTTCCATTTTCTATATAGATCAAAAAATGGCCAAATAAGTGCTATGGACTTGCTGGAACGAAGTTGTCAGTTTCTGTTACTGATTTTGTATTTTACTGCTTCAAACAAGTGTTGTCTCCCAAGATTTTTCATCTCCTCTAATATTAAAGGGGAAAATTCTCATGACCGATGTTTAATCCCAGCAAGACAGTAAGGTTTGAGATCAAAATGTGTAATTCCAAATTGTACATGGCTAGCATACAAGAATACAAAGTTGAGTCTGTCTGTTTACTGGCTTACTCATCTTTTTGAATGATAATTTAGACTTCCAACTGTTTTGAGTCGAGATTCAGCCCTTTAATTACATATGTTTATGTATAGCAGCAAACTTGAAGACATTATGGTAGAGTGTTCTCTACTCTTGGTAATGACCCAACTATCACTCCAGTTTTCGGAGCCAGCTCTCAGTAGCCAGTTTTACTCATTCTTCTGTGCTTTTGTAGTTTCCAAACTATTCTCTCTGTCTAAAACTACTACATTTTTTCCCAGTAATTAGTAGAAAAATATTTTGGTAATTAGCAGTAGCTGTGTATTAGAGTACTTACTCATCTTAATAGATTTTTTTTTTTCCCCTAGCTGTAGGTGAAAGACATTTACAAACAAGTTTTTATTCATGTTGCAATCATGACAGGAATGTTGTTTATCCATACATTTGTATACAGCAGCACATGAAGCATGTGGGTGTACTAAATATCAGCAGACTTCAGTTACTTTTATCTACTTGAGAAGGATGGATAGCAAACCAGTTTTAGAAATACATTGGTCCTCGACTTCTCTCTGAAACTCTTTTTGCTTCAGAGGAAAGGATATGAACATACCAAATTTTAACGTTCCACGAGAAAATTAAATCTTTAGCCACTTTTAACAGAATCTTAAAAAAGCCTCTTGAAGTTTTGCCAGATTTTATTTTTCAATAGCATCTTTCAGTGATAGTGGAGTCATTTTTTTGACGTTTTTACTGCCATTTTCAGTCACTAATGTATTTTTATTACATTTGATTGATTTAGTTAATCATCTGTAATGAAAACTCAGAGTATATGCTCTTTGGTTAGTTACAGGGCTTAGTATATGCATCAGTGTGTTTTGTTCTTGTTAATAATGCACGTCATCACTTTTGAGGACTGTCTGAAAAAATGAATATAGATAGAACCAATAATACATCTGTATATTTAATACAGATTTACATAATGTACATACTAATATATATAATACATTTATTATACTATAAATAGTGTACTCTCTATATAGGTAAAGACCATATTACAGGTAACATTTGGACATAGGAAGGGTTAGTTCCAATTTTCCAATTTTTGCATGCTTGAGTTGGCAAATTTATATTAATGCCATTTTAATCTATGTATTTTTGTATGTATTTGCAATTAGAAAATGAATGGTGAAAGTAAAAATCTTCAGCTTCATTACAGGCACTGGAGAGGATGTGATTTTTAATTGGTACAGACTTTTCTGCAGGTTTGACTGTATGTTTTTGCCTTCAAATTGTCCTAACACAGTCACCTCACTTTTCTGTCCGTGGCAGCTTCTTTTACCTTCCTTCTCCTAAACTAGCTGCTCTAATTTAGCTATACTCTAGCTATCCCCCAATTCCACTCTTCTCCCTTTATTCCCTAGTCTTTTGTTCTTGACATCTCTTCTGTAAATAACTTGCTGTATGCCGTCTTTCTGTATTGGATTTTGCCTCAATGAGGTAGTTTTTTTTTCATACTGTCTGAGGAATAGGTGAAGCATTATGAATATAAGAGAAAGAGCCTTCCGTTTAGCAGATGTAGAGGCAGGAGATAGCTGTAGCCTCTGGATTGTACTCAGTGCATAGATTTTTTTGGTGATTTTATGCTTTAGTAATTGTTATCGTAATTTTTTACCCTCCTCCCACTGCACTCTTATCCCTCCCACATGTAGTGTGGCCAGATGCCTTACATTTTCACAGGAATACTAAAAGGATATCAAAGGTCTTGGTTTGCCAAGTTTTAAGCCTCATCTCCAAAAAGTAGTGTTTTCCAGCAGTGTGCAGCTTTAGGCAGACACCCAGCAAAGAAAATTTCAGCCTACATGATTGAAGTGTGATAGGATTAAAGATGAGAGGATGGTTTTGTCAGGAGTAAGATGAGATAATCTTAGAGCAGACAATGCTTCTAGTCTCTTCTGTTGGGAAGGTAGCCCGACAGGTTCCTTTAGAGCTACAGCTAAGGAAGTTAAGAAAGCAAACAGCCTGTTAACCCTAGCCTCACCGTCGTCATGATCATAACTTGGACTTCAACCATATGCCTGAAGATGGGGGTTTCTCTTATCTTGTATCTAATATTTGCATCCAGCTGCAAGCCTGTTTAAGTATCCTAAGCAGCTCTGCTTCATCTTACTCCCCAAGTTCCCATCATCTGCTTCTGTCCTCCTTGTTTCTCTTCCAGCTTTTGTGTTAAATTCACTCTTCCTGCATCCATCCTGCAGTAGCTCTTTCCTCTAAATGTTGAGGATGGCTCTCATCCCATCCAAGACCTAGCTAAGTTTATAAACGCAGTGAGATTGGTTTACTGTTTCTCTTTTGAGTCTCCACAGTGTATGCAGGTTTGTTAAATGTAATGTCATCTTGACCAGTGTGCAGTCTGACTTATGTAGTAATTTATAGATGTATGGTGAATATATAGGTTTGAGCATCAAGGAATACGCACCTGGGTAGTACAGTATTTACTCTGTTCCTTCTTCATTTTTTATACCTATGCCTGTCAAGCTTCTGAGGTGTTCTGCTAAGCTGCAGAAGAAAAATCCTATTGACAGTCATATCCACTTCCACTCTTCTTCACTTTTTCAAATAAAAAAATCGCAGTGTGTGTGAAAGTTCTTAAATCAAGATGTCCTCACAAAGACCCCCCTAATATCAGTCCTTTCATGCCTGTACTAAGGATAGTCCTGTACATGTAAGTCTACTGATACTTGCTGTGGCTTTATATCATGGAGGCAGAGGACGTTTCTTAGATAACTGTGTCTCAAAGTGTTTAGGTGTTCAGGCATACAAATCAATGCCTTGAACTAAGACTTTAAGCTCGTTATGAGCTAGTAATTAATGTATTTTCAGTATGCTGCTGCATTTCAGAAGGTCAGCTATGAGTATGCATCTTGTACAATTAACATGGGCAGCAAAGGCACATGAGACAAAGCAAAAGCAGGGTAGAGGGTACTTATGTGTGTTAGGTGTTTAGAAGTTTGTTGGGTCTGATGCAGTTCTTTGGAGAATATTTAAAAGACATTCCTGTAAAATTGTGGATGATAGTTGAGGTTTCAAGACCCTGAATTTGTGAAGAAAAAATACATCAAGACATTATAATTTATTTTTGTGAAAGAATAGCATGCCTTGTTAAGTGGTACATGTCATATAAGACGACTTTTGTAAAGCATTGACATTAACTGGAATAAATAAAATGTAATTCACCAAGAATAAGTGCAAAGTTTCATGCTAAAGAATAGTCAACTCCCTCAGTAAAAGGTGTGGGTCAACTGGTAGATGATAGCTCTACCAAAAGGAAGGTACAGCAGGTGGTAAGTGAACAGGAATTCTGTTGCTGTATTTATTAGTGTTTGATTTGTGAACCTGATAAATCATTGTAGATCACACATTTGATCTGGATCAGCTTTGAACAAGTGATAGCATTCCAAAACATGGGATGTGATGTTTGTGTCTATTTGGTGGTAGCTGCAGGAAAACAAATTACACTTTTGACAGAGTAACCTTAACTTCACAAAAATGTTTAAATATATTTGCATTAATAAAGAGCTCTAGTAGGTCAGTGTTTTGCAGATGTAATGTTTTGTGCAGTATGCTACATTGTTAAATCTAATACACCGTTGCATGAATTATCAGTGTTGTGGTCTTGTGACAAAGGAGTAATAGGAAGTCTACTGTATGTCTAGAATTGTGTGACAAGGAAGATTGTGGATCTGAAAGCACAACTGTGAGGACAGATTGGTTGAATTGATTCAGGCCGGAGAAGGCTAAAGAGAGATAAAGTAGTGTTCAAATGTGTAAAAGGGATAGCTGCTGAAAAGATAAAATAAGTCAACAGGGCAAGAAACAATATGCTTAAATTATAGGAACAGCTGCATTAAATGCTAGGAAAAATCTTCCAACTATAGAAATAATTCATTTCCTTATAGATTGATGTAGTAGTTTGCTTACAAAGGTTTTGAAATTTCTACTTTTCAGGGATTGTAGAAAGACTTCAGAGAAATACTTCTGAGAAATAGCATAGCTAGACCTGATTCTGCCCTGGGGCACAAAGAGAACCAGATGATTTCCTTGGGCAGCCCCAGTGGGGAGTTGTGTGTGTGGTTATTCTATATTTAATAATCGGACTAGTTTCAACATCTGAATTTTCTCACATAGTGTATTTTACAATAAATCTTATCCTCAAGTGACAGTAGTGTGGGTAATTGCGGCATGGTTGCCGTTGAAGGGAAAATGTCATATTCCTCCTGCCAGGTACAGATGGAAAAATGTGCCTCTGGCTACTGCTGTTACCTTGGCATACTGGAGCAATCCGGAATCTAATCCTCTTCTTACCCTCATAACACAGACCTAGTTTGCAAATGGAGATCACACTCTTTGTAAGGGCAACAGTACAATTCCATCAATTCTCTGCCTGCTTTCTTCACCTTATGATTATTACCTGCTATCTTTTGTTCAAACCCATGGTTATATTGCCGTTCTGCATTTCCCTCTGCATACTGGATGCGTGCTGGATAGGTATACTTAAACTATATATATTTTATCTAAGTAATTGCATCTGCTCTTTACCCGTTAACTGGCAATGTATAAAAGAAGCAATGTCATGTATTTCTCTAGAATGTCAGCTAATGAAAACGGAGCGACCAAAGCCAAACACATTCATTATCAGATGTCTTCAGTGGACCACTGTCATAGAGAGGACGTTCCATGTAGACACTCCAGAGGAACGGTGAGGGTTTTATTTTTGTTTTGCTATGTTCTTTAGGCAGAAGCCTCAGCACGGTCTCTGCTGGGACTGCATGGTGATCAGCACTTGGATCTGTGACATTCTGAGCACGTCTGAACAGTTACTTGGAGAATTTACAAGTCAGCTTCTGTAAAATATTATCTGGGCTCATAGCTACTGTAAAAGTTGCCTGCGAGTAGGTGGGATGAGTGTGTTCAAATAAGCCAAAACTATGTCATGATATGTCTCTGAAGTGTTAAATTTTGAACAATAGCAGCCTGAATTATTTTCCAGCATCACTGTCTTAGATTTTTCTTTTGCTCCTCCTAATATGCTTCTTTTTTTGAGCACAGAAAACAGTATGTTTGTTATAATATATTTTATGTTTGCTTATTAGTTTTTCTTGTTTCAATAAACATGTACAAAGTCTTAAGCATTAACTTTTTTAATGCATGTAATGAGGTACAGGATGATGTACCTTGCTAAAATGTTCTGTACTGTGTCTCTGGTTAGATGCGCTGAGGCTTTCAACTGTGGGCATCTGTCCTGTTGAGACGAATACTGTGATTTGGCCTTATTTACATTGTTTGTATCAATAAATAACCAACGACTTTGCATTTTCTGTTGTTTCTCTTTCATTAGTATATTCACTTAGAATTTTTTTTAGTCTGCCTTGGTACTGTTTCTCCACTGTATCTTTCTTCTGTGTATGCAGTGCAGTACTTCTTACTCGTATTCACTAATAGCACCAGACTCCTCCCCTAACCCTTGCTGAATGAGCAAAAAGCAGCAGGTACTGCACTTGGTATGGGGCTGTGCAATGCTGATGGGCTGGCTGGTGTAGCTGTGCTGGTTAGCCAGCACACAGAATAGCCGTGGGCTCAGCTGCCCCTGCTTGTCCCTCCACGAAAACCCTCATCTGGGCCTGTCTTTCTACGCATCCATTGCTTTTTATGACACTTGTAGAAATTTTATTATTTTTGAGGACCTCTTTCTTAGGGGAATTTGAAATTAGCCAACAAGTTCAGTTTTAAGAGGAGACAGACAAAGAGTTGAATGCACAGCATGATTTGGTAAATCTTGTTTATTTTCTGTGAAAGTGTCTTGTGGGGAAGGGGAATGCCAAAAAGTCTCTTGAAATAGCAGATAGTATCAGATAGAAGATGACGTTCTGTGGTCTGAGCTGTATTATACCTGGAGCAAGTGTTCACAAGTTTTCAGTATTGAAATATTTACAAAATCAAACACTGGTATTTCTTGAAATTAACCGTGCAGTGATCCTTTTTATGCTGGTCAACTTCACCACCTCTAACATAATGCAGAATTTGGAAGGAAATTGAAGTGATTAATTTATGAGTCTTCTGCTGTGTAAAATGAGAATTGAACATTGAAGCAATGTAGCATGTGAAAAACATTATAAACCATTTATTTGAATGTATTTTATGAGTTTCTAATAGGGATATTGGCTTGTTCATGATAGGGAAGAATGGACAGAAGCAATCCAGGCTGTAGCAGACAGACTTCAGAGGCAAGAAGAGGAGAGGATGAACTGTAGTCCAACGTCACAGATAGACAATATAGGAGAAGAAGAGATGGATGCTTCAACAACCCATCATAAAAGAAAGGTAATGACATTAAAAAATAACTGACAAGACTAACACATAAATAACTTTTGTACAATGGTCTAATTGGGTAAAACAATATAGAGAGTATAGTATTTCTACATAAATTTCAGTGTATTACAAGCATAAAAGTACTTATTTGTTTTATTTCAATAAAGCTGAACTTTTCTAGTTTTATTTATTTGTTATACTACCTGATACAGCACTTCTGAAAAACACGTTCAACTGTTCAGGCACGTGTTAACATTCTGCTTCTTATTTGAATATTATTTTCATATTTTCCTTTTTGTTTGTTTACTCTTTTAGAAGTATGGTAATAAAATATTTTCCTTAGACAAGTAGATTTGCCCCCTTTCTCATGCAAATAATACCCAGTACAAATTAGATAATTTGCATGAGAAAGGCTAGCAGGATTTGACTTTTAATGACCTTGTGTTTTGCTATCTGGGAAAATAACTCTGCTTTAGTTTTCAATGAAGGTAAGAGAAAACAATGTTTTATTTTTTTGCAGTCCTTCGTAGCTTTTGGTGTAAGTAGGAATATGTACATTGTTGGTTATAACATACTTCTAGCTGTATTTCCAGAGTCAACAGGATAAACGCACAACTAAGAGCATGTTTTAAAGATTCAGTGCCATGAAAATTTACTTATTGTTCTGTGTTTCGATTTTATCCTGAGTTTCTGTAAGTACGGGCTACTCTTGAAGAATGAATCATTCGAATAGATATCTCTCATTTACTGTACAAGATTGACATGACTCAAGAAATGCATTGAAATTGTATGAGAAATGATAATCTGTTACTATAGGATTGGCTTAATTCTTTCTAGCTAAAAGTGAAACATCTGGAAAACTAAGTGAAAGTCTGCTGACAGAGCAAAATAGTCTTATGGCTAATGTAACTGAATGCCTTTGAATGATGAACAATGAAAAGAAATAGTGAACATGTGACTTTACTCATAGAGCACGTTTTGTTCGTTGTACTATATGAAGGAAGCATTGAAAAATCAGTGGCTGAAAACTGTACCTTGAATATGTTATATAAATATAATGAAGGTGTCATGGGAAATCTTAGTTCTGTCATGACCTAACTTTCGAGAACTTGAGTTTGCAGTGCAAACATAGTTCTTTCATGTGGTTTCGTTGTATATGCAATTTTCTAACCTTTTTTGGCTATAGAAATAGGTAAAGACTAATTATATACAGCTGTAACAATACTGTCAATGTACATTGTCAGATTGACATTGAACTTTTAGCCTTGTGGCTTAGACGTTTAATGATTGTGCTCCAGGGTAAAATATGATACGTGACAGCAAGACAGAGGCAGCATTCGAGATGCATCAGTCTTTCTGAGAGGCAGTGCGATTATGTGGAAGGGATTTGGGTTTACTCTGTTAAAGATCTGAGCGCTGTTCCAAGCCTGTGTATCCTCTTAGTGGAGTACAAAACCACTGCATAACAACAAGCATTTTCAAGGTGTCAAAATTAATGCTGTCTAATGTAAGTAGTTTATCTGGAATGTATGCTTTCCTTGTTCACAGTGCATTTTCCCATACAACAAAAGGGGTTGTGGGAACAGGAGGAGGAGGAAGATCAGTTTTGTTTCAGTCTTGCTTACGCTTTAAGAAATGCTGAAATAAGATGCTGGGACAATGCATGTGCAGTGCTGCGGAATATTTAACAGCTTTGGCAACAAGCCAAAAGCAAACTCTACAAAACAAAGGTGAAATGAAAAATGGTGATATTTAACACCTAATAATTGAGCAGAATGGAGTTTTTTTAGCCAGTGAAAAGCATACTGACGACAGCAAGGATATTTTTTTTGCCAAAACTTAAAATCCTACTGCAGATTTCTGACAGTTGGAAGACTTCAGCGAAAGGTTCTCAGAAGTTTTTGGAATGAAAAATATTAAGTGACCAGGATGACGAGGACTTGTCACTCCCTTGATGTTAATTGAAATTGGGAAAAATCTATATTTTTAAACTGTTTCTATTTTGTAGAAATGTTTCTGGAAAGCTTCTGTTTAAGCTTTTGTAGTTAATATAATCAGAATAATTTAAGTTATGACAACTTAATGCATTTTTATTGCTTTTCTTTGGTATTGCATTTCTTTTCATTTCAGAGATTTTTTGCACAATGTGTCCTACAAGCTTGTGTTGTCACCTGATTTTACATCTAAGCCCAGTGAATTTTGCTCGTGCATGCACCAGATGGTATACATATGAGTAGAAGAGCATAATCAGATTAAGAAACAAGACGGAGATGAGTGGGCCTGTTCTTGTCTAAAAAGTTAGCAAAAGGTTTACGAAGAAAACAGTCTTTAGGATGTGGAACTTGATTTGAACAGGCATGACAGCAACGTCACTGGACCCATTAGCTGGAAGAACCAAAAGCACTCCCCAACCCGCGCCCCCGCCCTACTTTTTTTTAATGATGTCACTGTGCCACTTAAGTTTTACAGTAATAGCATTGGTAAAATTTGGAGCACTAGAAATTCTTAGCGAACTGCTTTTATTTCTTGCTGTTCTATTCCTTGTAAATAGAGTTTCTTCCTGATGAAGTCAGATGAAAACTCCAAGTGGCATAATCTTTGTACAAATCAGGAATTTTTAATAATTATTTCCTTGGTAGGAAATTTCAACACCCATAGTAGGGTGTATTCTTTTGAACGGAGCATCCATAGGGGAGTAAATAGGTTTTACAGAAGGCTGAACATCGTACGGTTCTTGGGTTAGTGCAGTTTCCTGTAGCTTCACTGCTTATTCTTTGTTTACAAGTTTGTTTTGCAGGATGCAGAATGAGTAAAGAATAAATTTTTCAGAGGAACTCAAAAAGTAATGTAATGAGGAAAAAGATTCAATCCTCACAGTTTGGTAGGAATGAAAAAGGTAGGAAAATCATCAAGGAGAAAGGATCTAATCTTACGGAGGCCTCCAAACTTGCTTACCAACATCTCTCAGGTTTAGGGAGTATTTCAATTTTTCCACCAGTTTTCAGTACACCCTTAGCTATGGCATCTGTGTTTTTATCTCCCAAGGCCTTGTGTTCTTTGGCAGACTTTTTGAGTTACGCTGCACTGCGTATCATCTTTAAGCCTTCTGCTGAGCTTCTAAAGAATGAGAGCATCAGGAGACTTTATTCTTAGGACTAGCACTGCCACCATAACCTGCTGTTCAGCCACAGCTCAAAATCTTGCAAAGCTATTACCTTCCTCTTATAAATATACATATATTTTTTAAACTTGTTTTCACTGAGCTTGCAACTAGATTCATAACTGCTTTGATGAACATTATGTAAGCAAATTTTGGGCGAATGAGTCTTTCAATTTGATTGGCTTGCTGCCCTTAGCATCAAACTCCTGTCTGTGATGAGTTGTGCCAAGATCCTCCTTCTGTGTGTGGGTAAAGGGCTGCTTTTCTGAGCTGATTTTATTCAGACTCTGATGGTCCCTCGCTAAATCCAGCCTCTCAAAGAAGATCAGAAGTGTCGGAAAAAGTTACCCTTGGAGGTTGCTTATGATCCCATAAATTTTTGACTGTTAGAAGTGATAAGTTGTTACAGTCACTAACTCAGTATTCTTTATCAATAAAGTTGTTAACCATTCTTTGTTGGGCAATGTGATAGGTTGTGACTGAAGATATGGAGGATTCTGTCCTGAATTACTCATCTTCTACCTGAATTATGTTTTGAATGCATTTTGGGTTTTTCATGTGTTTTTGTCAATTTTCACGGCCTTGGCACAAAGATATTTGTTTTTGCTTGATGGTTATCATAGAACTATTGAAGTAGATAACCTGACTTTCTGAAGTACTGATTGTGATATTTGAGAAGCCATCCTTTTAGTTGATTAAGTACTAGTAGTCACATAGTATTTGGACCACAGTTTTACATGCAACATCATGTGTCACTAGCTGCAACACATTATACTAGTTTTTGGAAAAGTTGATGACTTAAGGATTTGTCTGTGGTCATAAACTTTAACGTTATACTCACTGTGTGGATTTACTTTAGGTAAAAAGTATATTGAGCCTTTGAAATCTTCGTTATTCATATTTCTTACTGGAATATATGCAGTTTTGTTGTTCTTGATGTGAGGTGGTTTTGGCAGCGAAACAAAATCTGTCAGTGCAAAAATGTTTGTTTGAGCAAAGAATGGAATTCACTAAGGTTAATTTGCTTAGAAGCCACTAATCAACCATAACATGGGAAAAAGATTTAATTCCTGCCGATATAGCTAGAAAATTGATAAACTGAAAGCATCTTCTCTTTAATAAAGCTTTGAAATATCCAGCTATCCAGGTGTTACCTTAAGTAGTCTGTTGGAGACCTTTTACAGCTTTTAAGTTGTAGGTTGAACACTTAAAAGCTGAGGAATTCATTAATGTGGTTGATGGAACTTCAGTTCTACCCCTTATGTGAGCAGATTTCAAACTGACTCTGAGTGAGCAATTGCATAAATTATTTTCACAGTTTGTCGCCAGCAACTTCAGATCCACAGTAATAGTATCATGCACTTGAACTTAAAGTAATAAATAATTTCAGAAGGAAGTTTTGCCCTTTATTCTTTCTCACAGGACAGAATATATTTTGCTGCTACTCTTTCTGATTGCACACCAGGGGATATGCCCAATAGCTCTACACTTGGAATGTGCATAAGATATGTAGGCACTTTTACAGGTACTTCTGGTAGGGATAAGGAAAGTACTGATACAAGGAGAGGTGCTATGCTGGACCTTGTTCTCACCAACAAGGAGGAGCCGATGGAGAATGGGAAGCTCAAGGGCAGCCTTGGCCGTAGTGACTGTGAAATGGTGGAGTTCAAGGTCCCTAGGGTAACAAGGAGGGCACACAGCAAGCTCACTACTCTGGACTTCAGGAGAGCAGACTTTGACCTCAAGTCCATGGGACCTGATGAGATGCATCCGCAGGTCGTTAGGGAACTGGTGCGTGAAGTTGCCAATCCACTATTCGTTATATTTGAGAAGTTGTGGCAGTCTGGTGAAGTTCCCACTGACTGGAAAAGGTGAAACACAGCCCCCATTTTTAAAAAAGGAAAAAAGGAAGAACCAGGCAACTACAGGCCAGTTAGTCTCCCCTCTGTGCCTGGCAAGATCATGGAGCAGATGCTCCTAGAACTGTGCTAAGGCACATGGAAAATAAAGGGGTGATGAGTGACAGCCAACATGGCTTCAGTAAGGGCAAATCCTGCCTGACAAATTTAGTGACCATTTAAGATGAGGTTACAGTGTTGGTGGATAAGGGAAGAGCAACTGACATAATCTACCTGGATTTATACAAGGTTTTGACACTGTCCTGCATGATATCCTTGTTTCTAAATTGGAGAGACATGGGTTTGACAGGTGTACCACTCAGTGAATAAAGAATTGGCTGGATGGTTACACTCAAAAGAGTTGCAGTGAACAGCTCAATGTCCAATTGGAGACCAGTGACGAGTGGCGTTACTCAGGGCTTGGTATCAGGACCGGTGCTGTTTAACATCTTTGTCGATGACATGGACAGTGGGGTCGAGTGCACCCTCAGCAGCTTTGCTGACAACACCAGGTTGTGTGGTGTGGTTGACTGAAGGGAAGGGATGCCATCCAGAGGGACCTCAACAGGCTGGAGAGATGGGCCTGTGTAAACCTCATGAAGTTCAACAAGGCCAAGTGCAAGGTCCTGCAAATGGGTCGGGGCAATCCCAAGCACAAATACAGGCTGGGCGGAGAATGCATTGAGAGCAGCCCTGAGGAAAAGGACTTGGGAGTGCTGGTGGATGAGAAGCACAACATGAGCTGGCAGTGTGCGCTGGCAGCCCAGAAAGCCAACCGTATGCTGGGCTGCATCCAAAGAAGTGTGGCCAGCAGGTCGAGAGAGGTGATTCTGCCCCTCTACTCTGCTCTGGTGAGACCCCATCTGGAATACTGCAATCAGCTCTGGGGCCTCCAACATCAGAAGGACATGCACCTGTTGGAGTGAGTCCAGAGGAGAGGCATGAAGATGATCCAAGTATCAGTAATCAAGAGTACTGTCTGAGACTGCAACTAGTGATACAAAGAGACACTAGGAATTTGAAAGATAAGCCACAATCTTTTGTTTTCCTCACACATAGCAGGATTTAATATATTCATCTTGGCAAAACAGAGATTCAGAGTGTAATTACTCTTTATAAATGTTTTGAGGTGTGTTATTCACAAAGGAGGGAAGGTTACTGATACTACAGAACAGTACTATAACAAGAATAGCTGTGTGTTGTCTTTCAGAGCTTTTAACTGCTTTCCTCAAGGCTCCTGGGTGCCTTAATGGTCTATGTGTCATTATGTGGTGCTACACCCAAGCCAGTAAGAGTGCGCTGAAAGATGTGCTGTGGAAACACACAGCGGAAGCCACTTATTGGCCCTGAGTTGGCCAAACGAGCCCTGCTGTCAGTCCAAGGTGACCCTGTGCAGTCACTGCATTCTCAGTGGGTTTTTTACATCCTTAGCTTTGCATCGAATGCATAGACCATAGGATTGATGCTTCTGAACTGGCTGTGAAATGAACTCGCAGAACTAAGATGATAATTGACTCAAGCTTTGTGCTCATGAAAGTGGTTAAACTACTTTTGGATCTGAGATTGTCTGGTCATATTCTTGCAGTGTGTGACACTCCAGTTGAGCTGATAAACCTACTGGACTTAAATTGTTTGTTGGTGGAACCAACTCTTGGACATACTATGTTTAACCTGCAAAACTAGGGTGATACTAGATACTTGAACGGTCACTATAATCGAGTCACATGAAAGAGAAAAACTTGCCATCTCTTCCTTTTCAGAGCCAGATTGATTAATGTAAAAAACATATAATTGTACCCTCTATTAAAAGTTTTAAAAGTGCACCTCTAATGCAAAGACTGTTGTAGAGTTCTGCTGGTATAATATTGCAGTGAGGATCATGTATGTTTCAAAACAGCCATCAGTGCAGTGTTTGGTGTTATGTGAAACCTACTGATAGGCAATGTTCTTGTGTCCCTGGTAGTAACAAGTTGATGAGCTTTCTTAGATGTGGAGCATTCATGAAATGCTGGTATAGGCTAAGGCTGTGTTGTGTGTGTGCTTTGCAAAAATAAGTGTGTGTGTGTAGTATACTGTGCAGTACCTGACTTTAGAGAACTATAATAATAATACTGAACAATATATCCTCTTGGTTTAAGAATACAGTGAGCTATTATGAGCTTAATCATAGAAGTGCACCGATTTTTGTAAACTGTTCTTATTATATTGGTAACAGCATTTGGTTATATGCGGACACACTTGTGTGCATACTGGAACTGGATAGCATAAGTGTTGCTAATCCTTGTTCTTTACTCTCTATAGACAATGAATGATTTTGACTATTTAAAACTACTGGGCAAAGGCACGTTTGGCAAAGTTATCCTGGTCCGAGAGAAGGCTAGTGGGAAATACTATGCTATGAAGATTTTGAAAAAAGAAGTCATTATTGCAAAGGTAAGGAAGGTTATTGTTTTAATATTGGGTCAGTTTTTTTGAATGGAATAATCGATATCTAATACGTAAGGCGTATTTGATTTTTGGTGGAAACTGACTTTGATAGAAATATGTGTGTGTATCTTCAGAAAACAAGACTAGAAAAAGAAGTTTGTGTACCCATTTTGCATGCCTTTTTCCAGTGTCTTGTAATCTAGAGTGTGCTAAAGCATTGAGAGAATTCTCAGGGCAGGAAGATAGCGCAATCCAAATTTAAAACAAGAAAAAGTGCATTGTAGCGTATGTTACATACTTCAAAAAATTTTCTAAGTACTACAGGTTTATTTGCATAAATGAAATTAATTTAATAGACTTGTGCTCTCTTCCTGATATGTTAGGTAAGATGGCTATGCATGGGACTAAGAATTTCATTTTTTCAGTTCTGAGAAACAAGGAAAGTCTGAAGCTGATGTCTGGAGAAGTGATTTAAACTGGCATTGTCCAGTCACTTAAACTTGATTAGGTTAGTGTTACTAGCTCTTGTACTTGATCATAATTTTACCTTTTAAAGTTGAAGATCGTCTACTCTGAGCTTTGTTTCTAGCAATTCTAAAGTTTTGAATCCCATTTGCACAGAACAAGTCAAGAGTGAGAAATCTACATGCTCTTATCACCATGAGATGCAATTAAAAATAATCCCAATTATTAAGTAAGAAGGTTTTTGAGGGATGTGGATCTGACTGAGAATTTTGAATGCTTGAGGCTAACAATGCCAGTATTCATAAAAACTGAATGTGGATGGGAACTACTGTGGTTTACATATATTTTATTTTAAAATATCCTTCAGATTTTTCTAATTTTCCTATTGGCCTATGAAAATAGGCTTACAGAGTTTTGCAGTCTAACTCTATGTTCATTTGTCTATCTGTCACTCACTTTCTAATAACTTTTGAAAACGTTGATCACTTTCAGTTAAATTTGATAGAGAAGTAGAAACCTCAAAACCAATTATATTTCCTTGAGTTTCATTGAAACCAGCCCTAGTGTAGGGGGAGAGACTTAGATTTTTGTCTTTGGCAGAGAAGACACTGACCTGTGAGTTCTGCGTGTCCTTAACAGCTGTTTCATGTACACTGGCAGGCTGGTTGGCATGTGTGTGATTTGGACTAACAGCAGCAGAGAGTGCCCTTTTCTTCTTCATAATCAGGAGATACAGAAAATAAAGACTATCGCCACTGCGTTCTTCTGATTCTGCATGGGAAGGAGCATCTCAGTGGCTGTCTTTGTAAGGCTTCATAAATGGAAGCAATCTCTGTGGGTTGCCCTGTGGGTCTCAGAGTCCATCTGATTGCTGCACACTGTGGCCCAGTCTCCAGCCTGACATCTGTCCCCAGTGCTCTGCTCACCTGTGGCAGCCAGGGGGTCCTCGAGGGAGTCTTATGTCTGACTGATATGAGCTCCTGTTCTACTGCTGCTCGTTTATACCCTTCCAGCCTTCAGAGCATTTCAGCTTGTTTCTTTTTACCAATGTAATAAACCCCACATTTTTGAATTTTAGGGTTTCCCTTTTACTTTGCTAGCTGCTACAATATCACTGAATTTTTAGAAGGGTTAAAACTGATGCTTGGATAACTTTGTCTCTCTCTGTTGAGTAAAAGTTCTTGTTCGTATATGTATAAAGCCAGAGAAATTTCGAAGAGATCAGGGATGCAGCTGTTCATTGATCTGTTTACCTGAAAACAGAAGGATAGCTCAAGGATAGATTGGGCAGAACCTGACACTCTCTGAAACAGACCAGGGTCTATTTTTCTGCCTGTTTGTAGACTAACAAGAAGATCAAGTGTGTCAGGAAACATGCCTTTCAGCCTGTGATGAAAGTGGGAACACTTCAGTCTTTTAAATTTGACTTCCTCAGAACTGGAGTTTTATTTTGAAAGGAGTCCGTCTAAGTCTTACAGTCTGTCTGGTTTTATATTGATAAGAAACTGATGAAAGACTTAAAAATAGACTATTCTTAAATCTTCACAAGTGAAGTGATGGTGTTTTTTTTCCCCCGTAGTCATCAAATACCAGTTTTTCCACTCCTCCTCAAACTAAAACTAAAAGCAAACTTGAGCCTGAACTTAGCTATGTAGCCCAGTCAGTGTAAGTATGTCATGGGGATTTACCGATAACATTTAACTCTGATGATGGGTGCTAAGGATGCGATCACTAGGGGGAACAGAGCTGCAGTCCCAACTCAGCCTGTAATGTGATATAGTACACGCTATAGAAGGTCATACCTGCAACAGCATTATATGGAATAGAAAAGTGGTGCACTGACAGCTGTATTTAGAAGGGCTGTATAGCATCTGCCCAGTTCAGACTAAATCTGTTGATCCTAAATTTTCATGACAGATTAATGTTACGCTTACCAAGGAGTTACTAACAGTATTATAAACTTCTGAGGCAATGCCAGAAAAACTGACCAGCTTTTTATGCCTCGGATCTGATGAACCACCGAGGTTTAAAAACAACCAACCAACCAACCAAACAAACATAAATAAATGAATAAATAAATAAGTAAATAAAACTTTAGGCTTGCTTTTCTCCTGGAAGTGTTTTTGTTTTTCCCCCAGTGTGTGGTTGTAATACACACTCAGTGTTGCACTGCCATTCAAATAAATGGCATCATAATTTATTACCAATAGCTCTGTTGTGTTGTTTAACTTCCTATTTTGACAATTTTTCAAGTCTAATTTAAAACTCCTGACATCTGTGTTTACTTTCCAGTTTAATAATACCTTATCTTCAGAGCACAGTCTGATAAGCATGTTCAGTACAATAATGTTATATTGATATTATTTGTAGCAACAATAAAGTATACTTTGACTAAATATATTTACTTATACAGAATTATGGTTGAAATTTGAGTCACATTAAGATAGTTTTCAATTCTCTATACTATAATACTCAGTGGTAGCTTAGAGCTACAGAAGATGGCTATACCACCCCAGTGGCTGTCAGACTTTTCAGGTTTGGTCCCTGGCATCATGAAGAAGGGAGATTCACAGCATGTATTACATGTAGAATTGCATAAAATGACTGTGTGTTCACAAAGTGAACCTCCTAAATGCCCTGCTTTTCTCTGTAGTGAAGGGTGAGCCTTCCCACCATTCTCTCTCCTTACTCTGTTCCTGACAGTTACTACTGGTGTATGTTTCTTGCAAACTGATTAAGTCTCTCTGTAGATGTGTTGTTCAGATGATTCATACCAGAACTGCGAAGTTGTGATGACTATATTTTTCAACAGTCAAATCCAATATTATAATTTCTTCCTTCCCTGCATTGAATATAAAGTTAAAGACTTAATTTTAAAGCAACATAATAAGAAAAATAAAATAAAATAAATTACATTAAATTTTATTTTGCCAAACTTAAGTTTACTTTAAAATCTTTTCTCAAAAAACGTGAATTGTCATGTTTCTTTCAGGTTCATTCATTTTCCAAAACTGTACTGTAGCTTCGCTTTTTGGAAGTGTTGAACTTTCCTCATAGTTAATTAAATAACAATTTTATATCTTAATTCAGACCTGCTTCTTCTACTCTTTATTTCTCAGGATGAAGTGGCTCATACGCTTACAGAAAGCAGAGTATTGAAAAACACCAGACACCCTTTTTTAACAGTAAGTATTAGGAATTAGTTTTAAGTACATTAGCAGGTAATTTTACCATGTTGGATGTTCCATTATGAACATAATTTGCAAACAAATTTTGAAGTCTTTTTTATGATGATTTGTGAACAAGCAGTAGCTGTCTGGTGCTTATGATTTCCTTTATGTATTTAAGATTTCAGAAATAAAGTTTCTAATAATTTAGTAAAGCTTAACTACACTGAAAAAAAAATTAATTGTAGAATGTAACTGTTGTGCAATTTTTTCGATTTTTGTATATGAACACTTTTTAAATAAAAGTTATTGATTTCACATAGTGTCAACTAAGTAATTTTTACCAAGAAAAGTTAGTTAAGAATTCAATAAAATGATAAAAATAACTATTTGTTCAACATAAGTAACCCGTGGAGCAACAAAACTCAAACGCTGCTACCTCAATATCTTAGTCTTCATATGGTTAATATTTAATAGAAGGAAAATATTGAAAAGAAGATGAAAATTTTGAGATTCATGACAAATTATGATTTATAGTTTTAATTTTACAACTGACTTTCTTCTATAGAGGTAATTCTGATTCCTCTCCTTTGAGACTATATTAGAAAATCTTGGCGTTGATTTCAAAAGATAATTAATGTTGTAGTTTAAGATAGGGAAAAATTATTTTATTTTTTGTATCAAAGTATAGCATAGAAGCTTTCCTATTTAGAAAATCATAAACCTGTTAGAATGCAGAGGATTGCGTTTACATTGCTTGGCCAAAATATTCTTGGAAATTCAGTCAAGAGAAATGAGATCTCTGAAAGTTTCTTAAATTAGAGTGTAAAAGTAAGCAGGAGTAGGCATAATTCCAATCAAATCATGCAACAATGTCACTGCAGTTGTACGTCTTTCTGATATGATTAAACAAATATTTTAAGGAGTCATGCAGTCACTTGCGTCTCCTTATGATTTTGTTACATGTAGTTCTACTGCATTTTGTTTCTTTTAGGCCAAGCCCGCATGTGTAGCTTTTGTTTCCTACTATTTTCCAAGTTAAACGTTTTAATAAAAATATTAACATTTATTACAATTTTAAAATCATACATAAATAAATATATTCATTTGGCACTCAGTGTTTTTAACATGGCATAGTATGTGAAACTGGAGAGTCCTTGCATTGGAATTGAAAGCAGGCTGGAGGTTAAGATCACTTTTAAGATTTTATTTGGGAGAAATTAAAAAGAATATGGTAATCTCTGTTTTTGTGGGCATTGCAGAGGTGGACATCATAAAATATGATGAAGGAGAGTAGCTGGTACCATGTGTGGCAGTAAGAAACGCAGGAGAAAATTGTATATTTTAGTAACTATTTAGTATTTTACTATAGTAAGTGTGATATTTTCATGTCAATGGCCACGTAGCAGAGATGAGGGATGACATGAATTTCTATGTTAATTCATCTCAAGCTCCAGATAGGAAGTTACACTTCTAATTAGTCACTGAGTTCTCACCAAGTCAGAATTGTCTGCCTATAAGGATAAAATTAAATTTTGTTACAATTTAAGTGCAAGAAATTGGGTTAATGCAAGATGATAATTGGTTTGGTTTTGCTGTTTTCTTTGCAAGTCCTTGAAATATTCCTTCCAGACAAAGGATCGTTTGTGTTTTGTGATGGAGTATGTTAATGGAGGAGAGGTAAGTTTAAAAAAGATGTTCTGGGCTTGTAACAGTAACACTGTCACTGGGCAGCACTTTAAAGGATATAATTTTTCTTGTCTTTTTTGCTTTCTAACATCTTTGAAGGGTTTGGGTTTTTTTAAATTTTAAAAATTGTTTTATTTAAAAAAAAATGTAGATGTGTTTTATAACTATGCTGTCAAAAGTAGTTCCTATTCTTGAAAAATTAGACTTATATCTTGAAAGATAATTTCATCATAGAGAAATAATAGCGTGCTTGTTGTTTTTATTCTTCAAGTATATTATAGCATATTCTGGCATGAAAAGGTCATAGTCTAGTGCAAACAAGCAAAAATAATGTTGACTAGTCTTGCTTTGTCCTAATGTGAAATATGTGCTCTCTTCTTTGCTATATCCATTGCAAATACCTATGAGAAAAGAGAGGAGTGTTTGTATTTTTCATTACTTCTGTCCCTTTCACTTGCTGTGTACTCTGGAAATTTCAGCGTAAGTGCTTAACTTCTTACAGTGTTGTTAGCCTTTAAGCTGTTGCTGTCCTCCAGCTGTTTACTGAAGAATGGAATATCAAAAACTGTGCCTGTCGAATGGAATTAAAGAGAATTGGAATCTAAGAAGAGAGCTTTTATCTACCTTTTAGGTGCTGTTTGCTATTCAGACTATATCTTGTTAAAACATGGACTAGGGGGTTTTCCTTCTTTTGTGTGCTATATGCTGCATGATAACCTTGAAGGACTAAGTGTTTCCACTAGCTTTTTTTAATAGAAAACAGTTTCTTCATTCAGGAATTGTTGCCGCATGATACCGTGTTTTGCATTATTTTTTTTCTGTGTTCTACAATAAAACTGTCTTCGGCTATAATCCTAATGCCTGAGCACCCCCAGAGTACCTGTCCTGCATTCATTGCCCTGGCGATTTCTGAGCCCAGTCTGAGGCCTGTTTACATCCTAACTCATCCATGGCTGTCCTCTACCAGCCACGGCTAAACATGGTGCTGTAGGGTTCTCATATGGGAGGATGGCTTGTTTAACTCACTATGTATATACCTGGTTCTGGACATCACAGATGTTGAACTGTTTTGGCAAGTTGAACTAGACACAAAAATCTCCCTCAGCAGTAATGGAATAACAGCCTTCTCTTGGACACTAAGCGGGCTTATTTGACATTGCCATTTCACACCAGAAGGCTGTGCTGCCGTTCAGAGAGACCTGGACAGGCTGGAGAATTGGGCGGGGAGAAATTTAATGAAATACAACAAGGGCAAGTGTAGAGTCTTGCATTTGGGTAAGAACAACCCCATGTACCAGTACAAGTTAAGGACTGAACTGTTGGGGAACAGCACAGGGGAAAGGGACCTGGGTGTCCTGGTGGACAACAGGATGACCATGAGCCAGCAATGTGCCCTTGTGGCCAAGAAGGCCAGTGGCATCCTGGGGTGTATTAGAAGGGGTGTGGTTAGTAGGTCGAGAGAGGTTCTCCTCCCCCTCTACTCTGCCCTGGTGAGGCCGCATCTGGAATATTGTGTCCAGTTCTGGGCCCCTCAGTTCAAGAAGGACAAGGAACTGCTTGGGAGAGTCCAGCGCAGGGCCACAAAGATGATTAAGGGAGTGGAGCATCTCCCTTCTGAGGAATGCAAGAGAGGCTGAGGGAGCTGGGTCTCTTTAGCCTGGAGAAGAGAGGACTGAGGGGGGACCTCATTAATGTTTATAAATATGTAAAGGGTGACTGTCATGAGCATGGAGCCAGGCTCTTCTCAGTGGCATCCAATGATAGGACAAGGGGAAATGGATATAAGCTGGAACATAGGAGATTCTGCTTAAACATGAGGAAGAACTTCTTCCCAGTAAGGGTAACAGAACACTGGAACAGGCTGCCCAGAGAGGTTGTGGAGTCTCCTTCTCTGGAGATGCTCAAAACCTGCCTGGACACGTTCTTGTGTGATCTGATCTAGGTGGTCCTGCTCCAGCAGGGGGATTGGACTAGATGATCCTTTGAGGTCCCTTCCAATCCCCAAACATTCTGTGATTCTGTGACATTGAACTTAAGTCACCAATATAAAGTCAGTGCTATCTGCAATGAGTTGTAAAAGTGAAGCTGTATAAACTAGCTAGTTCTTCCTAATTTTCTCTGTGTAAGACCTTATTTCATCTCTGTAATCTCAGGGGATGCACTTTGAAAGTATGTTTTTAACATCAGCCTATCATTTAGATACTCTTCTTTTTGAAACATACTTTTCTGTCCTATTTGAATGTAGAACAGAGGATGCAGAGAATGTTTTCGACTCCTTTCTTAAGACTGAGTATGCTTTGACACAGTGTTTTGATCAAGCTTGTCTCTTGCATTCCTCTGCATTGGGTGATGCACCTGTGTGGCAACTGCTGCGAACAACTTGTGTCATGGGTTTCTTGGTGGCAGCCTACTTTTACTTATTGGGATTTGAATGATTGCAATGTACTTTGCCAAGAGCGGGTCGCTTTTTTCCAGGTATGATGCTCTTGTTTGTCAGTGTTGCTCATGTTCTTCGCAGATGGTTCCCTAATTCAGTGAAGCTAACTGTAAATTTTTGCCACAGTGGGAAGTAATGGCCTTCGGAGTAGGCAGTTTTCTTTGACGAAACTCTCTTGATTTGCTTATGTGCTTCTCTTTGACTAGAGATCTGGAATCGTGAGTGAGACAAACTGTCCTTTTTAGTAGGAAAATCTTTAATCTTACCAAATTTTCCTGTGAATTTCAGACTTTAGTCACTGTCTGCTAAGAAATACAAAGGACTTCATATTTGTAAAAATAGCCTTGTTATTAACTCGGAACTACTGAAATTAAGTTGCATAAAGTTCAGCCAGCGTTTTAGCCATTTGTAAGCATGTCTCCTACACGGTACACAGACTTTTTTCTTTTGCTGCTTCCCTCTTCTGTCCTCTCTATGTTCCAAGGAAGTTTCATTTTCTTACAATGGTTTCTCCCTGTTGAAGGTGTTGAAAAGTCATCTTTTAATTATATCCTTCCAGTGGGAAATTGTCTGTAGTAGTACCATGTTGCTTTTGGTTCTCTCCAGAGCTGTACTACCTTCAGTGTGTTTCTGCTTGAAATTCCTTCAGATTAAAGATTTCTTTTCAGTTAAACAGTTGTACCTGACCCGATTGCTTGGGAATTTTCATGGATTATGTCTTTAAGGAGCACATTACCCAAACAATCCTCTGAATGAAGGAGTTACTGAAATTTGTTTCCGTATTCTTAACTCTCACCCAGGTGAAAGCAAGAAAATGCCACAGTTTAGATTTCTGCCCTGCTACAGTAGTAAAAAGTGCAGTCAGTTCTAGGAGACTTCAGTACCTCTTCCTAAGGTTAGGGAGGAAAACAGTCACAGAGGTGATCACTGAATTTCGTTCTGAAGGAGAAAAAATTGTGTTAAAATGATTCTAAACAAGAATCTTCTATACCTGTTAAAAATCTAGATCCATGTTGAATTTAATGTCCTGCCAGAATAGTAGCAATTTATCTTTGCCTTACCTTGCCTATGTAACTTCAAATTAATTAGGCTCAATTAATAAGGGAACATGTTATAATGAAAATGTGACTGCATCAGTTTTGCTGGTCAATTTGTGCTTTTTTACAATGTACAAAGTATTACCATATCCAATTCTCTTTTGATTTCCTTTTTTAAAAAAAAAGGCATTTTCTGTAGCTAAATGGATTACAGCAAAACACTGGAGGATTTTTTCAAGCAGATTACTCGGATGGAAATATTGAGTATGCTTTTCTTATACTGACAAGTTTTGCACTTAATTTTCTACTGCTTAAGGGCCCAGTCATGAAGTCTTTGTTGTGGGCTGAAATCTTAACTTTTCCTTTTTTTCAGTGTTGCTGTTGGACTCTGTGGTTGAAATGTTTAGCAATGTCTATTGATCATAAACTATGTTGCAGTATAGAGCCAGAAGGATACTTCTAACATTGTGATTACTTCCCAATACCTTTGTTACACTGAAGGAATTGTATTAAAATAGCATAAAGACATTGAAATTTGATTGTAGGAAAAAAATATTCATCTGGCTTAGTTGAGATGACCAAATTCCATTATCAAGACTTTGAAATGGCACGTTTTATGAGTGAGTGATAAAAAAAGTACGTGCAGTACAAGTACAAAATACTTGCAGTACAAGTATTACATGATAAACTGTGTTCTTTACTTTGGTTCAAAATATAGAATATTAATGTAAATATTTGTAAAAAAGTAAAACTATCAATACTTAAAAGATGAACACAGGCCTACTTAAAAGAAAATGCCTTCATTTTTGTACATTTTCTTCTGTCCTTGTTCTAAATATTTTGAAAAAAAAATGTGCAAGGCCGTATTGATGCTTTACCTGCTAGTATTGATTTGCCTACTCTTTCTTTTGTAACCCATAGAATTTTGAATACTATGTGATTGCAGTATGTTAGTAATACATTAGTGTTCCTCCAACTCCTTGGCCACACAGAATGGTATAAACTGTGGTGTAAAAAATGATATTCTATGAATTTCTTTTTATTGTTGGGGAATAATTTTGGAGTGTGTGTTTCCCATTTTTTATTTCTGGTATTTTCCTTTAAAGGTTGTAAAGCTTTAGGAATGAAATCTATTACATACATTACTCTGCAGAGTACACTGATTCGGCTGACTAATAAGTTGATTAACTTCCTTGCTTTGTACTTTCAGGATAATTCCAAATTCCATACTTCATAACAAACTTAATTGGTAATTATCTGTATAATAAAATTAGACTCTAAAATTTATTGAGATGGTTTCTCCACACCAGAATTCTGAATCTCTGTTCTGCTTGGCACTTTTTTTTTTCCACAGCTCTTCAATTCATTAGGCAAGAGAGAGCTAAATGGTTTGCTGTAATTGAACAAGTGCTATTACTGTCCAGAAAAAAAGAGGATTTACGACCTACCTAATGAAAAATAACTGAATATTGTTGTAAGCTTTGTCGTTTTTATCTTGATTGTGTCCTGTTTTGTTTTCCTGAACTCTAAATGAATGTTCCTTAGCCTATAATTATGATAGTCCAAAATAAGGATGCTCCATTTCTTTGAGTATGAGATGTGCCTAGAAGCAGTATGAAGTCTGAAACAGTAAACAAATAATTCAAAATTTCAAGATTGCTTCTGCAAATGCTTTGCAAAAGAGTCAAATCAACAGTCAGATATGAAAGAGCTATGCAAACCCAATATACAACAGGAAGAGCCAGTCATACAACTTTTGACATGCCAAAAAGGTCACTAGCACGTGTAGAAGTTTAACATATTGATTCATATGAGTTTGTCTTTTATATATTTGACATGCTTGAATCTGCAGTTGAATATACTTTTATGTTTGATCTTTGTTTTTATTTGTTAAAATTTTTCCATTAAAATTTTTTATTAAGAAAAAACCCCATGACAACATTGTTCAGTTTTTAAATAAAGACACACTAGGAAATTTATAGCTCCAGTCCTCACTGTAACTATAGCACCCTCATGTATGCTATCAAAAATGTTATGTGCAAAATGTCTTTCTTTGTGCCAAAGCTATTTCTATTGCAGTTCCATTGACTTTATAGCATGTATTTAATAATTGTAAATCAATAAATAGTGCAAATGTTGGAAGCTTTTTTCATAACCTTCCATCAGATTTCTTCTTTTCCTTCCTGACTTAATAAATCTAATCTTCATGTTCTGACAACTGTAAATAGAGCCTGGTGGCATAATTACTCCAAAATAGTGATCCAACTACATAATTAGCTGAAAATAATGCTGTAATCTCACTGGTTTAGATTTTTCTATTGTAATTTTGAAGTTTGCTTTAGTGTCTTTAGCATATATGTGAGTGCATAAATTTACTTTTAACATGTATTTTTATATTTAAATGTACATTCTTAATTCAAAACTAGTGTGTATGGTTTGACATAACACTCTTCTAGATGCTATAATAATACAAAAACTTGCTTAGGAAGAATGGCTAGTGTCATATAACATTAAAATAAACTGTCGGGAACTCAGTCTCTGGCAAACACAGCACTGCTAGTTGTTTCTAGCTGGTCATTTTAGTTTGAAGTTAGTATTTTGAATGAATATAAAGAATATTTTGTTGGAGATAAACACTAAAGAAAATAAATTTTTGTTACATTAACTTGCCGGGTTATCAACTCTCATATTCAAATTGGGCCTTTTTTTTTTAATGGAAACTATTGCATCTGTTACAATAACCTCTTTTCTAAGTCTTTACTGCTCAGCTACTGGGTTAGTCTCTTTCATACAGAAAATTGCGGTAGTCCTTTTGCATAGATATGACTGTAGGGTTAACTACGGGTTATATTATGAATTTTTGGAATGTGCTATTTGTACACATTAAAAAGTGATCTGAAAGTTTGCCTTTATTTTGTATTACGTTGAGTCCATCAAAAAAAAAATATCTTAAAAATGAATGACATTAGCTCATTATGAAAGAGACCACAAACCATATAAATGCATAAATTACATAAATTTTGTATTTTGCTTTATTTGGATGAAGATCTACCTAGCAGTGTATGTTTCCTGTTTAAATCTTGAAAAATTGTGTGGAAAAGACCTCACAAATGGAGAAATTTATTTATTCTTTTCCCAGATTTATAATATGTGAGTCTCTTCTTGAAGGCAGATTTAGTGGCCTAGCATGTATGGGTCTTGTGTTTACGTTGGCATTTAAGCAGTCGTCAGTACAGAAAGCAGGTTGCTATAGGGAGGGCTGATGTCACCAGAGATCAGTGTGCAGCAGGAGCAGTTGAAATACCTTGACATACCTACAGAGGAATGATCCTCCTTGTCATGCAGGTATTCCTGTTTTTATACAGAGTGTCTTGAGAATTCAGAAAGAAATTGAAAGGGGAATGCAGATACAATGGACAAAAGGAAATACTCTTTAAATAATACTGCAGTTTCTGTGTTCTGTGAAGGCTCTGCTTATACAAATATATGCTGCCAAAAGGATCGGTTTAGTTGGAAGTTTAATTAGGTCCAGAAGAAAGTAATAAGCGGTTTTTTGGACCACAACTGTCAGGAAGGAAGTTTACTTCTAGTTGTTTATAGGATTGACTTTTTAATTACATTTTGAAAAGTCCACACACTGAAAATATCTGCAGTAATTCTTACACTGTTCTGCGCCGTGTGAGCAGTGTAGATTTCCTATAGGTGTAAAGTAGAATGTGGTAATAACAGATTAAGCACATTACTGTTTTTGTTGGTTTTGGGACTTTTTTATACCAACCCTGCCATTTCGGAACTCTCATCTACTTGGTGTTTTTAGCAGTGAAAAGAAAAAAAAACACTTCGTTGCAGATTTCCTTGTCTATATTTAATTTATAAATGATCACGTTTTCTCTATTTCTGTTTTGTTGATTGTTAGCTCTTGTGGTAAAACCAAAAACATCGTAACTTGAAGGAGTAAGGCAGGCTGCCCATTTGGTCTTAAGCAGAATACAGAAACATACTCACCATTCTTTCTTTAAGGACTTTCCCAAGCTTTCCTGACACAGTAAATAAAACTAGCCATTTTAGAGAGCATTCGAATTAAATAGCCAAATTCTGCTTTTTTTAAGTGTTGTTCCAGGTTCTGAGAGTGGTGTTTTACCAAATAAGATGCTGACAACCTTACAGAATGTCACCTTATGCCTTTTCATTGCAGCTGAAGTTACTGGCAATACATAATGACTAAAACTTTTCACTGAAAGACTTGAGTTGAAAAAGTGTCTGAAGTGCTGTTACTTATAAAGTATTAAAAGAAATGTTTTCATTGTAGCAAAGAAATGCACTAAATACGTAGATTAATTTTTGTAAGCCTTAAGCGGTTGTTGATTTACTTTTTCTAGTAGTATTGCTAGCAGTAGGAATGTGCTGTTCTTGTGTAAAATGCCATTTGCCTGTTCAGTTGAAGTCCACTGAAGAACTAGCTTTTTTTCAGTTCAAAGAAAAGTAACTAAATTACTGGAAAACTTAAGACGGAACCAGAATATGGGTGTTTTAATGATATTTCTCAGTGTCTTCAAATAAAAATCCACGGAAGTGGTGGAGGGAGAAGTACAGAATTATGCTGCTGCATACTTTTTTTTTTTTCCTCTGGTAACTGAAGGTTAAATGAGTAGCAAGCAGAATGCCTTAAACAAGATTGGTATATTGATTAAAACGCTGATTTAACAGCTCGCTTTCTCCCTTTGGAAACCTGGAAAAGATAAGCCAGCTGCTGTCTAAGAGTGCTGAGTGTCCACTGAGAGTACACTATCTATCATCACAATATGGTGATGAGAGGTGTTTTATGTTTGTGTTAATTTCCCCCACTAAATCAGTAATTATTACAATCCTGTCCCTGCTGTTTACCCTGCAGCTGTTTTTCCATTTGTCGAGAGAGCGGGTGTTCTCAGAGGACCGCACACGCTTCTATGGTGCAGAAATTGTCTCTGCCCTGGACTATCTGCATTCTGGGAAGATTGTGTACCGTGATCTCAAGGTAAAAAAAAGAAAAAAAAAAGTAATCAAATTTTTGTTTTTGCACAGACTATTGGGACAAACACAAAGTAATTATAAAGTTGCACTATTCAGAGTTAATGGGGAAAAAAAAAAAATCTGTGTTCAGCTTAAAGTTATGCGTGTGCTGAAGGAAGCCATTTGATACCGTAATCTATAGATGGATAAGTTACTTGACTTTAACTTGATTAGAAAAAGGAAGAACATACCTTAGTGTTAGCACTTGAAGGAGAAAGGAGATCTAAACTTCTGATCTTTTTTTTTTCCCCCACATTACTTATAACCTAGCTTGGATTGCAACATAAACCTCAAATATAATTCTCAATGTCCCCAAACAAGGGAAATGGAGAATTGGGACAATGTGACTGTATCTCAGCAAAGAGTTACGTTCTTGTATGATTTGAAAACATTTAAAATAATTCAGAATACTTCAATATGAAAAGAATCTCAGCCTTAATTTAAAAATTATTTTGTCTTTTGTATCTTGGAAAAGATTCGTAATACTAGAATGTAGTTTGTCTTAGATTTGCTTGTATATACAGTTCTGTATCCTCTGTTGTCTGAAGTTCCTTTTATATTATGCTGCAGGTACTCTGTGACACAGTATGACCATGTTGTATGGAAAATAACCTCTGATTTCAAAAGGAATGTTTTCTAACTTATGTGGGAAGAACCTCTAAATTCCATGACAAGATATTTTATTTCTGTGAAAAGCCTTTAACTTTTGGTATGGGAAATTGGCTTTCCCATTATATATGTGCAGTAGTGGAGTTCATTCATGGACTCCTTTGTACAAGAGCTGAAGAGAAAGGAGGCAATGGTAGGCTAGCTCTGCTCAGGGAGGCAGACAGAAAACAAAATACTGGGTTACCTGTTTATAGCAGAATCTGTTGTAATAACATGGCATGCTGTGACATCGTGGAAAAATATGGAATTATCTAGTCAAGGAATGATAGGTCATGATTTTTGATTTAAATTCCAAATAATAAGGAAAGAGGAATTTGACTTCATAAATCTTCCATTGCTGGTGTCATCTACTTTGCATCTTCTTTGTATGACACCGTTAGACTCGACTGAAAATATATACCTTTGAATTGTGTTTCAGGCTTTATGCAGGCTTAGGAAGACAGGGCTATGATTGTTCTTGGTTGGTATTTTCACTGCACACCTTACAATGAGAAAAGAAGCAACTTCTGTTGAGAAAAGTTGTTCGAAGTATGTTTTACTTGTTTCAGTTGTATCTGTATTTAAATTGCTAATAAAAAGCTTTTGTGAAAGTGATGTTAGCCGTGTTTTTGAGATAGTCCACAATAAATATTGCAGTAGTTTTTATTCCTGTTCTTTAAATACTTCATAACAGGCTATACTCTGTTTTCACATCTCAAAGCAAGGATCATATATTTGAAAAGCAATGTAAAGCATACACATACAACTATTTAAGAACAGTGTCCTTTGCAAGTGTACAAGGAAGAATTTACCTCACAGTTTTGTTTTTATCAGTAGCTTCTCTACCCCCATTTTTGTCTATTATTGAAGAGGTTGTGGAATATGCATATGTTTTAAGTATTCATTTTAAAAGAATGGGACATGGATATACACTAGCTGTTTTTTTATAGTAAGTAAAATGCATCTTGGTAAACGAAGGTGATGTAACAGCAAAGGAAATCTATGAAGTCTTACCAAATGACAGCCATGGTTGTAATGTTGAATTAGTTGATTATATCGTGAGAATGTTTTTAAAAATATATTCTTTCTATGGAAGATGCACCAAACTTGTAAGCTTCAGAATGAAAGACCATACTTTGATTGAGCTGGGATTTACTATTATGAACTATATTATAGTATTAAATAATTATTTAAATTATATAAAAATAAACACTGTTAAATGCTGTAATATAATAGGTGCTGGGTTTTGTGTTTTTTTTTCTTTTAAATTGCAGACAAATTATGTTCTATTGCAAGCAATAACTGTGTACCTTTTTTAAAAAATTGATGTAATGCATCAGCCTGTCCTGTTAAGAAATGCTAAGGGAACATTTTTTTTCCTCAACACACAGTTAGAAAATCTAATGTTGGATAAAGATGGACACATAAAAATTACAGATTTTGGACTTTGCAAAGAAGGAATCACAGATGCAGCAACTATGAAAACATTCTGTGGTACTCCAGAATACCTGGCACCCGAGGTATGATTTAGAATGTACTCTTGTAATCCAGTATAAAATGTATCTTTTCATTTAATTTTAAACTATAGTGTTTGTATGCCGAAAACTGTTCATCGTAGTAAAGAACTGACAGTCTGCCCGATTAATACTATGCAGTTGTTATTCAGAATTGTATGTGCTACTTTTCTTTTTAGTGATTGTATGTATGTTGATGCTATACTTCTTAGTGCTTAAAAAGGCCTCTAACCTGCATTTTCCTTCTCATGTTTGCCTTCCTCAGTTAAAGTTTTTATCTTCCAATGATTTCTTCAAAAATAATCTTCCATCTGTCTGTCACTTGGAACATATGATTCTGCCTAACTGAGTATAACTAGTGTTTATATAGCCTCAGTGGAGGCGAAGGGGAATAGGCAGGTACTGAATTTGCTGGATTTTATCTGAACTTCCCAGTTGCAGGGAGAGGGAGTTGAAATTTTAGATATTTCTGCTAAAAACAGTTGAGTATATCAACCTCAGAACTGAGGTGGGCACCAAAGCTAGCCGTTTCCTAGTACGTATACAGAAGTGGCATCCCAGAGTATGCCTCCTCATCTTTACCATTAGCTAGTACTCGGAGTGCCAAACATCACACTTCTCAAGAACTTATGAAAAGATGGACATGAGGATGTTGTTTTGGTTCCCTTGACTACTTAGAAGAAATTGCAGATTGTTCCTGTTTGGCTTGGTACAGTGACCACTTTTCTTCTGTTACACACCCAAAATCTGTTCCAGCAAGGAGAACAATGCAAGGAATGATACTCTCATCACTGGTATAGGCTACAGGAGTCATTGTCAGCTCTTACCCTCTCGTTATCTTCTTGTCAGCAGTCTCGAAAACGTTCTCAAAGAGTGCAAATAGCCCATTCAGTTGCAGTCTCGAAAACGTTCTCAAAGAGTGCAAATAGCCCATTCAGTTGCTTTCTTCTGCCAAAACGTTCTCAAAGAGTGCAAATAGCCCATTCAGTTGCTTTCTCCTGCCACCGTATTTCTCACTTCTGTAAACATGTTAGTTCTCTTCCATTGAACTGGGCAAGGGGTCATTCTGGATTTTAGATACTTACCACAAGTTACTTGATCCAATTTCCCTTTCTGTTCTCTGGCAGTCCCACTCCTCTCATCCGCTTCCCATTATGAGTGTTTTTTGAGACCCACCCTGTAAAAATCTGTCTTGAAGGAATTTGACTCTTTGTTAATGCTTGGAACCACAAAACTCATTCCCTTTTGCCTCAGACATAAAGTGTTTAAAGCAAGCAACCTAGGCAGGTTACTGATATGGCAAAAGAAGACTCAACACCTTTATCCACACATTCTTATTTAAAAAGGGTGAAGTTAGTAGTGTATGGACACTGTTGCAAAAAATAAACTTTCCCTTCATGCTCTCTGCTGCTACAATAGTGTTTCCCAGTGAATTGGCTGGATAGCTGCTCACCTGAGACAATTGTATCTTATTTTTATACCTGGGACAGCTGACCGATAAAGGGACCATCAAGAGACTGGATCCTCCAATCTATTCATGTGCATGTGTCAGAGAATGAATGTGCAAAAATCACTTCTCGTTGCGGTTCAGGCCACAGAAATCATGACAGATGCCAAAGACTTAAAACCTTTTGACAAATTCCAGATCATGAGAACCTAGTGTTACAGCTGGACTTTAATCCTCTTACCACAGTGAATTCCTGCTTGTTTATCCCAAGACAAGTGACAGCATATACTTATGTTTTGCCTGGCCATGGTAAGTGTAAAGGCAGATACCTTTTAGCCTTTCTTTAGAAGCAAGACATTCTCTAGTTATGTGGAGAAATCCATTCAGCATCTGTCCTTTCAATAATACCCTTGCATCCTCCTCTGTCATGTAGGTCAGTTGTGATGCGTGCATCCCTTCTGCAGGCCTTTTGGTTCAGTTTCCCATGCACTTGTTGGCTGGTGGCAGAGGACAGTAGGACAGAGCACTGTGTTAACACGCAGGGGTAGCCCGAGGTTGCTGTCTAGCAGCCAGGAAGCAGCTGACCCAAGAACCTTGCACTGGCAGGAATCTGCACCTAGCCTGAGAACTGACTTAATGTTTTCTTTTGTATGAGTTCACTGTTGTGGATTCAGTTCCAAACAAAAATTTGTGCTTGGCTCTCCAAGTGCTTTTTGGACCGTTGTTTGAGGCTTAGAGTCCTGCTCACCATTCTGCCTCTTTGCAAAAGCTAGATTGCAGTTGCTTCCAACAGGAAAACAGGAAAGTAGCTAAGCCAGAGTAAGGTGCATTTCCTCCTTGCATGATCTTCTCTCAGATGATGTCCTTGTGGATCCATACAGAATTATTTCCTAAGGTGATTTCAGAATTACTCTTACTCAGAAAATAAGCATACCTATTGCTGTGTTTTTCCATGCAAACCTTATGTTTCTGAGATCAAAGGAGTCCTTCCCAGCCTCTGTTGAAAAGGCTCTTTCATCTCACAGTGATAGGGCCTGACCTTTCATACAGGACCTGAGACTAACTGCTGGTATCTGACAGATCCAGAAAAATGCTCCTGTCTGTGTGAGGATCAAATGGATGGTGGGCCACAGGAAAAATATGTAATGAGATTGCCAGGTTGGAGCCAATTTTGATCTTTGGAGCTAGAATTACTTTTCTGGACCATCACTGATTTGTTGTTCGTGTCACCCACCTAGAAGTTTATGTGTACCTTCACTGAGCACTGTGCTGTTGCAGGGCATCCAGCTAGGTGGTCCACAGGTACGTTCCCTTTCCATTGTCCTCTCCTAGTCCTTCCCTGTTATCCAATGCCAGTATTCTACAGTTTAAAGAAAACTGAAATAGCATTGACTGTGCTTTGTCTTGCATAGCTATATGCCAAGCATAAAAGATGGTGAAGTATAAATAAGTCCTCTAGGAAGAAAATAGTTGCCACTGTCAAATAGCAGGGCTTATATATGTTCAGATGTACATTTTGGTCACAATTATTGAAGAATGAGTAAGTAACTTTTTATTTGTGACATTATAAAGTCTTTTGAGAATAATTCGGTTATCTGATATAGTGAAATTCCTTTATCATCTGCATTAGAACTAATGCAAGCCTTTTTTTTTTGTGCAAGTGTAGTGGTAATACTTAATATTTCTCTCTGCTCTAAGAATCTGTAGCATTCCTCATCTGAAAGGTATAAAATATTTTATAATTTCTCATTCCTTAGTAGTTTTTCAGGAAGAAGAAACTGTTTCTTTGGAATCTGTTTCCATTGTTATCCTTCAAAGTAAGCTATCACATTAGAGATCATTGTCGTGTCAGAGAACAAACATAGATCCTATGAGAAAAAGATGAATTGTGATCTCATTTAGGAAACACAGATGTACTCTTGGTTTTTTTTAGGAAAAAAACACAATGTTTCTTTTGCAGTTTTGCAGAGACAAAGGCAGGACAGGACCATGTGTCTTTTTCAGAGAGTATCACTTAATAAAGAAAGAATAAAACTGAAAAAGTACTTGTACTTGTAAATATACCTGTGAGGCATTTAAAAGCAGTTTGTATTTTGATAGTTTTCAGTTGATCGTCAAGGATCAAAGACTTTCTAATAAAGATACAGACCTCTACAGGCTTTCTTTAATAGAACGTTCAGGAAATGAAGCTACTTGGCCAGAGGAAAAAAAGTTCTTGCAGCTCTGATTATTTATTGGGGTAATTTCTTATATGAGATTTCAGTTCCTGGCGCTCTGCATTTCCGTTCAAGTTCTTAGGACTAAGCAGACAGTCTTATAGTAGAGCAGTCATTTTTGGTACTAAGTTTTGGTGTCACAGAAGATACAAATTTAAATACCAGAAATTAATTTTGAAGCTTTGAATCTTTTTAGTAACAGGAGAGATGATGTTCTGGCTATGAACAAGTCTGTAAGGGACTTCATGGATGATCATTCAAATGACTCTTCATAGATGTAGATCATCAGTGATATTTAGGCATATTCTAATAAGGAAAATGGTAGGACCTGCTATTTAACATCTTTGTTGACGACATGGACAGTGGGATCAAGTGCACCCTCAGCAAGTTTGCAGATGACACCAAGGTGTGTGGTGTTGTGGACACGCTGGAGGGAAGGGATGCCATCCAGAGGGACCTTTACAGGCTGGAGAGGTGGGCCTGTGAGAACCTCATGAAGTTCAACAAGGCCAAGTGCAAGGTCCTGCACATGGGTCGGGGCAATCCCAAGCACAAGTACAGGCTGGGCGGAGAATGGATTGAGAGCAGCCCTGAGGAAAAGGACTTGGGAGTGCTGGTGGGTGAGAAGCTCAACATGAGCCGGCAATGTGCGCTGGCAGCCCAGAAAGCCAACCTTATCCTGGGCTGCATCAAAAGGAGCGTGGCCAGCAGGTTGAGGGATGTGATTCTGCCCCTCTACTCTGCTCTCGTGAGACCTTACCTAGAATACTGTGTTCAGCTCTGGAGTCCCCAGCACAAGAAAGACATGGAGCTGCTGGAGTGGGTCCAGAGGAGGGCCACGAAGATGATCAGAGGGCTGGAGCACCTCTGCTATGAAGACAGGCTGAGAGAGTTGGGGCTGTTCAGCCTGGAGAAGAGAAGACTCCGGGGTGATCTTATAGCAGCCTTCCAGTACTTAAAGGGGGCCTACAGGAAAGCTGGAGAGGGACTTTTTACAAGGGCATGTAGTGATAGGACAAGGGGCAATGACTTTAAACTGAAAGAGGGGAGATTTAGATTAGATATAAGGAAGAAATTTTTCACTCTGAGGGTGGTGAGGCACTGGAACAGGTTGCCCAGAGAAGTTGTGGCTGCCCCATCCCTGGCAGTGTTCAAGGCCAGGTTGGATGAGGCTTTGGGCAACCTGGTGTAGTGGAGGGTTTCCCTGGCCATGGCAGGGGGGTTGGAACTAGGTGATCTTTGAGGTCTCTTCCAACTCTAACCATTCTATGATTCTATGGCTAAGTGTTATTAGCATAAAAGTACAGACTAGGTGGATGAATGCATTGCTATAAGAACAGTAG